TTGTGTTATTTTACTTATTTATTGCTTATGTATGATAATAAATAATAGGAAATTAGATGTGGGTTTTAAACCCAATCCACCCCTAACCTTGAATGTAGGGAGGGTTTTGCATTTTCACGTGCAGAAAGGGTTTGAATTCTCAAAATCCAACTTGCTATGGGTTTTGGGGTCGATATGGGTTGGGAAGTTTAGGAAGACGAATTGGGTCTAGAATTTACAAAATCCTCCCCAAACCCACCCCATTGCCATCCGTAGCCAAGTTAAGCTTTGTGGTCATTAATAGGTGTTTGGCATCTTCATCGTTGCTACAGAGATGTATTCTGAGAAAATGGTGTTGTATGCATGAGGGTCTGTTGCACCATTTTTTCAGAAAACAACTCTTTTTTTTTTTTTTTGCTTGGCATCGATGCTCCCACATAGACTGTTTTTTGGGAAAACAACACTGGTTTTGTTTGATACCAGTGCTGTAGAACCGTTTTTAGTATTAGTCTATATTATCCAACGTCCAAGATGATGCCACATTGATGCCACATCATTTCTTCATTGTAAGCAATGGGCTGTTTTCAGAGAAAACATTAAATTTGGTGTTTCTTTAGACCACACCTTCCCGATTTTCAAGTTGTAGTCTGGAACAATTTTTTATTTTTTTTTCTGAAAAAACAATACCAAATAAGATGCCGTTTTCTAAAACACCACTTCTATTTTTTTTTCCTGATATAACACCTATATAGCGTTATTTTCTCAGAAAACGTTATCGATGCCAAACACCAAACTTACGAACTCCATCCCCTTATTTTGATAAACAAAGGCTATATTTAGATCTGTGAGTTAGGAATGTAATTTGAAAATGGGATTTGTAGGTTGTAGTATCATCCACTTTCTAGTAACAAGGGCTGGTTTGGACTTTGGTCGGGTTTGGGTGAAATTGGTGGGATTTAAAAGAATGTATGGATATACTTTTAGAGGCCATTTTTTATTGGGCACTATAATCTAACTTAAGGAATAGAATGCATTTGTTTTGGCGGGGTAGGATTGGACCCAAACCCAATCAAAATTCAGGTTAGGCTCGAATTTTCTGGCCCAAGTCCAACCCAAAGCTTAAAATCTCAGGCCCAATCCGTGCAATATGCCAATCTTACTCCTCATTAGCCATGTGGCCTCCTTTGTCTTGACATGGAATCGTGGGCCATGTGTTCAGATCGGTCCATGAATCGATCGTGCAAGGTGACAAGAGAGATAAAATGAGAAGCAGAGTAGACTCGAGGGCGGCTATTTTCCATGCGGAGAGAAGATGGCGATGGTGGCTTCCCCGAACCCCGACACGGAGACTGAAATCGACCACAATGATAGCCCTAATCCTTCTGACGGACTAAACCCTCCTGGGACCCCTTTAGTATGCCTTCTGAGGTTCGCCGGAGACTCGGCGGCTGGTGCTTTCATGGGTTCAATCTTCGGCTACGGTTTGTTCCGTCTTCTCTTCTCTTATTAACCAAATTAGTCGTCATCGTCTTACTCTTGAATGAATCTTCTGTTTTCTTTACCTGGGAATAGCCTTCCTTTGTTAATTTGTTTCTTTATTGCGTTTTGAAGTGTTATCCTCTGTCCGCCCCCATAATGAAAACTTTTTTGCGTCATCCATTGGGTTTCCGGATGTTTACTTAGGAAGTATTTTGAGGAAAGAAATCTGTTCCTAGTTTTTAGATTTTAGCGTTAATTACTTTGCACATTCCTGTTCTCTTTAATCTTGTGAAGTTGTAGAATGGGGTAACACTGTTGGGGTTGTTTTGTTTCGCGTTCAGCACTAAGAAAAGATTTAAATGTGTGGCTTCTGTATTACCATTTCTTGGGGGTTAAAAGGCACGGTTTTTTTTTTATCAGTGTTAAAATTCACGATTCAAGGCAGCGAAAAATTGTATTATAAAACTCTTCATGGTTACGTGTTCAGTAACTAATATCACGATTAAGAATATGATCTATTGACCTTGCGACATATTTCAGGTTAGTTTATATGTTCCTAGCTCCCTACCGGTACTAAAATTTGATTTGGAATGTTTACAGTTTAATGGACCTATTAGTGCATTTCCGTTTCTTTACATGTAAAATGAAGGAAAACAAACAATTTACTGAAAATTGCTTAACTATTGAGGCTTGTAGTCCAAGTTAAACTAACACAGGAAAAATTAGGAAGAAATTCGAAGTGTTTTTTTTTGGGAAGGAGGAAGAGAAAAGAAATTCCATTTGGTAAAATGGAATAACATGTGATGGCATAAGAAATTGGGGGTTCAGTAGTTAGAAAACGGAAGAATTAAATAATTCTGGGGTGGTAAGATTTGAATGGGCTTCTAGAGAGGTATGGTGTTCCTATGCGGTATTTTTTTGGAAAGGGGATGATGAAATTTCATTTAGAATTTTTCAGATGTACAAGGTTTGTAGTAGGGGATGGACATAAAATAAGGTTTTGGGAAGATGAGTGTGGAGAGGGAAATCATTATGAACTTTTTCCAAGATTATACAGATTGAGTTCTAGAAATATTAGAGTGAACAAATGCTCTGGAAAGACTGGAAGAGAGGGAAGCAGGTTGAAACTTGAAAGGTGCCCAAGATTTAGGAGGCTGTTGTTTGTAGAGAGTCGGAGAAATTTTTGTGAAGTCCTATTCAACTATGACTAAAAACCTGGGAGAAAGAGATAATGTAAAGAGTGTGAGGCAATCCAGTTCCCTCAAGAGTGTTAACTTTGGCCTGGTTAATAATGATGGATGGCATATTTATGGTAATGATCTGAAGTCAAGAGGTATTCATTTCCATGGTTTTCAAGGCGCCAAGGCTAGGCTAGGCAATGGATCTTTTTAAAGTAAAACCATATATCCTAGGGTAGTTCCCTAGGTTCCATAACCATCTTTCCTTAATAATTATCCATAATTTTCACAAGAGAAGTAAAATTTCATGTTTAAGTTTAGAAAAATCAACATTTTATGAGAAGAAAAAGAAGGAAAGAAAAGTAAAAAAATATAGGAGCTGAACCCCTACTTTTGTTATAGGAAAAGATGAAAAGAAAAGGTGGAAGAAAAAGAAGATGTGGAAGAATAAAATGTGTTGATTAGACAGAATTTTAAGTTTTTCCCTTGCTTATTGCTTCAGGTTTTGAAATCTTTAATGGAGTTGCATTGATTTTCTGTATGCTGTGGGGTGTGGAAGGAAAGAAAATGTGTATCGTCAAAGACAAAATCAGATCGACAAGAAAAATGGTGGCTGGTATATGTTAAGTTGTTGCTGAGTGGGTGTTGTTCAAGATTTTAGAGATTTGAGTATGAATTATTTAGATGAAAGTCCATGGGACAATGCAAGATGAATGTTTGGGATATATATTTTCTGTTATAGGATCCAGGCTAAAATGATATATTTTCCTCTTAAATATCCTTTTCCAAGGGAACCGGTTCCTTTTCTTTGTTTTACATGCAACCAACACAGCCTCAGCGAAAGAGTGGTGCAAAAATTCATAGGGATGCAATTGGCACTTTTTTCTGATAAAAATTCTATTGGAACTTGGAAGGTAATCTGTAAATGTTTATGCCAAAAGTCACATAAGAATTTTAATTTCAGATCACTGAGTCATCTCAGTCGATCAGGCCCATTTCTGCCCAATATGAGGTAAACTCGTTGATTACTGAATTTGATGATTTCCAAATCAATAGAAGTCAAAGAATATACAGTTTCAATTTTAACATCCTGAAGTAACAGATTCTATTTGTCTAAATGATTGAATGAAACACACTCTATTTGATGGGTGTTTAATAGAGAACCAGGGACCATTAGGAGCTGCCAGTGCATTTGGAGTTTCAAATGCAGAGATTTTTGTGATGTTTTTCAACTTGATTGGTGATGATGGTTCCATTCAAGGAAATACTATGTGCTACTCCAGGGTCTTAAACTAATTTTCTAATTGGGATTTGAGTGTATTGAGGAGGTACAGTGAGATCCCCCATCTTCCAGATCTGCTGGATGGATGCCAAATCATTTAGGTAAGGGAGATGGTGGTTCCATTCGAGAAAACAAGATGTAGGTCTTAAGTTAATTTTCTAATTGGGATTTGAGTAAGTTGAGGGGGTACAGGAACCCCAGTCTCCTAGATCTGCCACTGGATGGATGTGAAATCATTTAGGTGGTCCATGGAGATGGTGTTGGAGTTAGAAGCATATTCTAGAATATTTCCTTCCTTGCATATTCTAATTTGTGTTTATAGGATTGGGATCAACCATTAAGTAAAAGGTCCATTAGCTTTAAGTGATGGAAATGGCCCCTGTATAGAAGTCTTAGGCCCCAGAGATGGTAAGACCTCACTGTTGAACCAGGCTTGGGATTCTGGGATGGGCCAGCATCATAGTTACTCTATATTAGGGTTAGGTGGGGGCTATCATGTTGATTGATGTAGCACACCTAGAACCTGAGAACTGTTCCAAGTTTTGTATTGATACATCAGAAAGCATCAATGAGCCTTTTTCAAGACTTAATTTAAATGTTTGTTTTCATAAGATTATTCTCTTCAAGGCTTGGTCCTTGGTTACAATCAATGTTTTTAAAGGCATGGGAGGTGTATGCTAGGAGGTTCACCTCCAAGCAAGGTGCCCCCAAAACACTCTGAGGTGTATGCTAGAGGCTCTGATGCCTCTAAGGCCTCAGGTCCATGAGGTGCACACCTCATACACTTTTTTGCATGGGGCATGCTAGAGGCATATGCCATGCCTCATACAAAAAAGGTAGAAATAGGGGTGGATTTGAGTTGAGCCGAGCCAAATACTTGGCTATTTGAGCTCGGCTCAGCTCGAGCTGGACAACAAGCCAGGTTTTTTTTTCTAAAAAATAAAAACTATACATATAAAATTATTTTTTTATTTTACATACAAAAAATTAAGAATTATAAAAATTATTTATTATATATACATTTATATACTTATATATATATGTATGTATGTATTATATGTAATAAAAAATTCTTTATTTATTATACTAGGCTCACAAGCTGAGCTTCACTGAGCTCAAGCTTGGCTCGATTAGAAAATGAGCACACATTATAAGGCTTGAGCTCGACTCGAAGCTCGGTTTAAACCGAGCTGAGCCGAGCTCGAATAGCTTGTGAGAAGCTCGGCTCTTGGCCACCCCTAGGCAGAAAGCAAGGAAAAATGGAAAGAATGAGAAGGAAAAAAAGAAAAGAAAGAAACAAAAAAAATGGAGATCCTCTTTCCTCCTCCTCCTCTCAAGGAGGCTTATACCTCCTTGCACTTGGGAGGCTTATGCCTCTTACACTCTGAACTATGCCTCACGCCAATGCCTCTGCGTTTTAAAACATTGGTTACAATTTACAACCATCCTCGAGAGACAATTTTAGTAAAGAGGGAATTCTTTTTTGAAAGATGGTGAAAATTCCATTCATAATACTTCCCCAATCCCCATAGGCCCATAGAATACTATAGAGACATTAAGTTATCATCCCATAGAATACTTCTTTTAGAATGAAGAAAATGTTTGAACTTGAGGCCTCAGAAAAGGCTGTTGATGGAGATCCGTTTCAGCAAAACTCTTTCAATCTTAGCACAGAATTTCTCAACAGGGAGGGGTTGATCTTCAAATGTTACCTGCCATTTCTCTCCTTCTAGATGCACCGGTAAGTCACAAAAGGTAACACACATTGCCCAACTTGGTAAGAACTTGCAACCAGTGCACGAGGCTCCTACCAATGCGGGGTCTGGGGAGGGACAGATGTACGCAACCTTACCCCTACACATACAGAGTACAGAGCGACTGTTTCCCAGATTTGGACCCTGGTCACACAGGTTGCAATGGAGCGACCTAACCATTTCGCTAAGTACTTGCAACTGCCAAGAAGAAATCAATGATTCAATATTGGTAGGAGTTGCCCAATTCACAACAAACAACTACATGGAACGGGACCACACCCATGGGGATTTCTTTGAAGGCACCTTCTATTTCCAAATCCACACCCATGGGGATTTCTCAGCCTTCACTTGACTGAAGTTTTAAAACATTGATTTAACTGCATAAATTCTTGATTTATCACAAGGTTGCTAAAAGCGATCTTCAAGAAAGGGTTGAGGCTTGACCTGCTCCAAGGTTTGCAATATAGCTAGTTAAATACTAAGGTGTCCAGGTTCCAATCATTGTCATTTCTCCTTAGGCAGGGGGTCCAAACTATCTGATTTGCATTCTTCTCATAACAATCACAGATACGGGTAGATTTGTCTTGCGCCAGGGCAAAAATAGTAGCACCAATCTTTCCACAAACACGCACACACAAAAAGAAAAAAGAGAAAAAACCTCACCTGAACCTGATTTGAAAGTGACAAACTTGGAAAAAAAACATCCCCGTTGTGCATAATTTCCTTCCACAAGCTGGTGCCATAGGGTTCATTAACAGGGTCTGATTCCCAACCAAGGTCAGCTTCCACATACTTGCATTTGATCAAATTTCCCCATTGCTGATTTTTTCTCAGTACCAAAGCGCTATAACCATTTCGAGAGAAGAGCATTGTTGACCTATTTAAGCGGCCAAATGCCCACTACACCTTGATGCTTAGGCTCTCACACCTTTGCCCACACCACTAGGTGGGTGGTGCTTTTTCTCCTCCTCTTTCCCATTCCACAGGAAATCCCTTCTGAGTTCAATGGAGTTCATGACGGAGGCTGGGGCTCTAAATGGGGACACAGAGCAGGTGAGGAAGTTTGTTGGGGCACTCTGGATGAGGATTATTTTACCTCCCATGGATAGATAACTTTTCTTCCAGCTGGCAAGCTTAAACCTTACATGATCAATTACCGGGTCCCAAATTTGCATTGTAATGAGCTACCAATGGCAGACCTAATAATTTTGAGGGGAGGGAACCCATCCTACAACCCAAGACTGTAGCAAGGTCAACAATATTAGGAACCTCCCCCACCAGAATGAGAGCACTATTCTGAACATCGTCTTTAAGCCAAAAGCGGCCTCAAAACAAATAAGGAGACACCTTGGAAACAGCAAAATATTAACTGCAACGTCTCGAGAAAACTAGAGTCATCAGTAAAGAGGAAATTCTTACTAGTTAATATATTATTAATTAGGAACCAATCGACAGTATACATGGGAAGAAAGGGGAAAAAAATTCTTGGTGAGCCAATTTAGAAAACATTGGTTTTCACTTATTACTTGAAATCAAGCTTTCAACCACAAGTCATGTTTTTTGTTGTTCATAAGGAGTAAGGTCCTGCATTTACTTTGCATTTTTGTTCACTCTTAAGTGCATTATAGGACATCTATTTCAGGTTCAGGATTGCTCAAAAAGAAAGGTTTTAAAGGATCATTTGCAGAGGCCGGATCTTCTGCAAAGGTACTCACTATTATCTTGATTAACATTAGTTGGGTGAATGACATTAGTAGAGGTTATGTTGTCACATTCTAGATTTCTGCAATTATTGCACAGTTTTTTAACTTACCTTCTGTTACATCTATAAGACGTTCGCAATTTTATCAGGAGTTCACAGTTTGGTTATCTGCTTCTTAAAGAAGCTGCGAGGAAAAGATGATGGTATAGTATCAAATGTGGAATTATTTTTCCATTTCACATGAATTCTTCTCTATTGAAAACGTGCTTTTATTTTATCAGCCTACGAAGTCATGTTTTTTTCTCATCTGTAGTTATAAATGCTGGAGTTGCTGGATGTTGCACGGGTCTTGCTCTGAGTTTTCCAGGTTCTTGCACTCTCTTTAGTATAGCATGTTTTCTTTTACAAATAACAAATCTATGTATCAGGTTCTTATTTAAGGTGCCCAGCTAGAAGAAACGCATGCATGGATGTCAGCATTTTCCATGAGCTTTACTTGAGTTGGTCTTTGTGATAGGTGCACCTCAGGCCCTTCTCCAAAATTGTCTGACCTTTGGGGCATTCTCATTCATCATTGAAGGCCTCAATAAGCGGCAGTCAGCACTCGCACACCCGTTATCAATGAGTGACAGAGGACATCCTGATGTTCTGCCTCCATTCACGCTTCCTCTTCCTATTGAATTAAAAGATGGCTTCTTTGCCTTCTGTCAATCCTTGAGGAAGTCCAAGAATGGTGCACGGCCAACCTGACTAATGTAATGCAAGAGTGTATCGACAGTTGTTTGTCATCATTCTCCAGAGTATTGTCTTTTGGGTGCTAGGACATGTAGATTGTAGAGGGAGAGAAGCATTTCTTTCTTCATAAGGTCCATAGTCTGGGTATGTATCCTCAAACTCTTGCTAATCAAGGCACGTATCAGGCTATCAGCAAAAAAACAAAGCACTTGTTAGTGATAGAACATCCATTTTTGTAAATCTACCTCAGCTTCTTCCTATTTAGCTGTAGGAAGGTGGTTCATAGGTGTGTTTCTTTCTTTGGTGTTGCTTGCTTGTATGCTCCGTTTGGCTGCTTAAGAAATCCTTTGATTACAAAAAAAAAAAAAAAGGGAAAGAAAGAAAAAAAAAAAAAAACCTTACAAACAGAAACAGCAATGGTACCAACAGAACCCAAGGAAAATGGACGCAAGATTTTTCAGACTAATATTTAAACTATTATTTCTGCTCTTTTAGAATAAAAACTATATTTTGTCTCCTTATTAGTTTATTTTTTATATTTTGTATGGAAAATAAAGTTCTAAAAGAAGTGATTTTAGCTTAAAAAGTTGCATCCATACATTTTACATCATAAAGGGGGAGAAAAAGAAAGAAAAAATTCGAACCCTTCTCAACTTTCTTGTTACCCGTTAAGGCCTCTTAGACGTTACATCAGAATGTCCTGATGTTTTCTGTTTTACCTCCAAAAAATTTATACATTAGAGCCTTGGAGGTGTGTTTAGCAACCTTAACAATTTTACTTTCGTCAATTTATAAAACCAAAATTGTTCGAATTGACAAAGTCTCATATTCAAATCCCCAAACCTCAAATTTGTCAAAAGATTTTGATTCCCAATTATTCAAGGTTTTAAATTTCGCAAAGACTTCCAATACAATAGTTTCGTATTTTTTTTTGTTCGTATCGAATCGAGACGGGTCTGTATTAGATCGTTTTAGGTATGTATCAGTCAAATTTAATTTCCCTCTTTTTTAAATTTAAATTTAAATTTAATTAATCTCTTTTCTCTCATTAATATCAACTTTAATTAAGTCTTTAAATTTGAGATGTCATTAAATGCTAATATTATTTAATGAAATGCTTATTTGAGTTACTTTTTTATTAATATTTATATAATAAATATTAAGATGAATACAAATTATATTTATTTATTAAAAATTTAGGTATACAATAACTTGTATACATAGTAAATATTATTTAGATCTATATATAATAAATATTAACTAATAAATGGCTTTAAAAAATATTAACTAATAAATATTAGTATATACACACACATACATTTTAGTTCCTATATTATTTTTCAACGGTTACTAATTATATCCTGATACTTTATATAAATCATTAAAGAATTGTTTATATGTTTAAATAAATTAGTTATAATCACTTAAAACTCATTTTTATTGTTCATATTTTTTATGGATTTTTTTATTTTTTATTTTTTAGCGTATCCATGCGTATCTTGATTTTTTGTCTATATCTATGCGTTTTCAAAGCGTATCTTGATACGTCTCTTAAAATTAACTTTCCAATACACCTTGCGTTTCCGATACTTTGACCTTATAATTATTATATTTTTTTGTAGGTTTATACAATGTCTTAAAAGCCAAATTGGAATCGAAACTGTTTTGGCCATCGGTTTTCAAGTTGACGGTTTGACTGTTTTGTTCAAATGGATAGACAAAAAAAAAATAAAAATGGTCAAAACTGTTGAACAGGTCGATGGTTTGACCACCCAAGTCAATGGGTTGTTGACCAATTCAATGGTTTTTGGCCAGGGACCGGATTTGAGGTAAAACGGAACCAATTAGTTGCCTGAATGGTTTATGGGCTGAACGGTCTGACCGTCCTTGCCAATGGCGGTTTAAAACCTTGGGTTTATAATTCCAGAACTGATTTCAATCTGTGGGTCTTATGATCACTTTGCTTTGATTGTCATAAAAAAAAAAAAACAGAAAAGAAAATCACTTAGCGTTGCTTATCTAATGTATATGACCTGCTTAAGAAGAAAAATTACTTTAGGCTAAAGAATGCAGTGATGCTTTCTTCAGGTGATTCAATTTTATGATTTATGAGTGGTCATTTCTGAAATCAGGGTGGTGATTACCACCGAAATTATCATAGACTAATTTAAGAGTCTAGCTGTGGCCACATTCCAACGATGATGGAGAAGGTTTCCTTGTTAATGTAAAAATAAATTTACTTCTGGTGGATCCCACTCTCTTATTCTCTTCTTTATTACAATTCAAACTCCAATATTTTCACCCTGTTGCTTCCTTGTCAGAGTTTTAAATGCAGAGTTTTGAATTGCACTGAAAATGTAGAAAAAATATTCAAAATGTCAAAAACCCATAATCTATACATCAATGCTCGCTCCGAATTGGTATCAATTCCGAGCTGATACTTACCCCAATTGTACTTTGGGATAGAAGGTCAACTACGTGGAAAGGAGAAGGGAGTTGAGAAAGAAAAGCAGGTTAGGTGGTGCAAATGAAACATCAAGATTGCCATGATATTTGTGGTACAAATAAATACAATATGAGAGATAAGTGGATTGGAGAGTGTGAGGCATTGAGCCGCATTAGGCGTGTGCTTTTGGCCCAGAAACTGTGTAGCAAACCTCTTCTGTTTCACCTTTATTTATTTTTATTTTTTGTAAAAAATTATTGATTTGGTGAACGATTCATCGACCCTGGTGGTTAAACCATCAATCCATTCAACTTGAACAATAGTTTTTATTTTATTTTTAAATTACAACAAAACAAATCGAATGATTGAACCACTGACGCAGAAAGGCGATTCCGGTTCTAAAACATTGGTTCGTAGAAGATGAGATGTGACAACAAATTAGGACAGAATTTTAGCAGGTCAATAACAACTCGGTGCCTACAACCAATAAATAGAGGATTCCTCTAGTCTTGTAATACAGGCGTTTACAAATTAGAAGGTGACTCTTTCAAGCTCTGAACAATAAAAATTAAAGTCAAAAAATCTCACCAACCTAAAACCGACATTTGATGCAGTGTGTCATACACGCTTCGGAAGTTCTCTAATGCCTGACTGACATGCCTGGCCCCACTTAATAGAGCAGTGTGTGGGTCCACAAAATTTTAAAACCGATTGATCATAATTAGAATGAACTCAAGTCCACGTATGCAAGACCCATTATTAACATTAATAATCTGCTGCTTGTCAAGACTCAAGACTCAAGACTCAAGACTCGATCAAAATCTGGAAAATTATTTGTGGAGTCGAAAAGCTCCGACTCCAAACAGTTGAAATATTCTTATGTTAATAGTGGTGTATTGCGGGCACTGTCATCAGCCAGAGACACATCTACAGGATTTCTGCCCACTCATCCGTCTCTTCTTTCAACTGTCTGTAGTCTTGGCTCATCGATGAGCTTACGCTTACGCACAGCTGATCTCAGAAGGACGTGTGAGCTGAGGACTGCATTTTTTGTTTTGGAACCAAGGAAATAGATCAATTGATTGATTTCTCGCTCGCTCAGTTATCAATCTCTTTGCTGACCAAAATTAGCTTTGTATATGCGGCAATTCTGGAAGCAAATTAAGCATTAATTTTGACAGTAGTTCCAATTACTTTAATTTAATAGAAAACACAGCGTGAGTTAGGGAAGATAGGAATTAGGAGGTCGGGAGCCCTCTGCCTGGCTCTATGTATTCTACAGTTCAAATTGTGTACCTGTGAGTCTAGAAACTCAAAAAATTATCTGTACCCAAATTTTGAGGGGTAAAGAAAAAAGATTTTTTTTTTTTTAATTAGGAGTTCCTATAAAGATTTTAAGATTTTATAGGAACTCATAATATTTACAAAGTACACAATTCTAGGGATCCCAGTAGGGTAATCATTTAATACAAAAAAAAAAAAAAAATTGTGAGTGAGTTTTGGCCTTCTGGGATACTTTATGAACCGAGATATTAAAGTTCCTGTTTACAAACTGAAAATTAACATTAGAGTTCATATCTGAAATTAAATTCCTGGTTCTCATCAAAAGCCAATGGCATGATTAGGGAAGATCAGTATTTTTCTTTAAGGCTAGCACTATCTGTTGAGCATTTGAATATATGCAAATTTCCTCATGATTCCAACTTTGAAGCTCTACCAAAGCTTCCATAGTCGCAAACATTCAGCTTGGTCAATAGAGGTAAGTTGTGAAGTTTGGCCTCCAATAGTCTTTAGGCAGGTTAAATTTCTAGATAGCATAATAATGCCAAAACTGAATAGAGAGTCAGAAATTTTCCCTCCATCAATAAATATAATTAGATCAGTAGCATTGGAAATGGATAACTGTATTCTATGAGTCTCAGAGAAAATATTAGTGAAATAGGTTCATGCAATAAATCCATGGAATGTTAGAAATGTTTGGTTGACAATATTAGTAATTGTTTGAGGTAAAAGTTGCCTATTTCTAAAGCATTTTTAATTTCTACCGTACCATATGTAATAACAGGCAATAGTTATCCACCCTAAGATTCTCAAAAGAAGTTAATTATCAGAAATTTGGTTATATAAATTGTTTATACATGAAGTCCAAGATCCTTGAAATATGTTATGCAACCGTAAGTTCTAAGGAGTGGAAAAGGGTGAAATGTAATTTTTTGTTTATTTTTGTTTTAGAATTAGACTTTGCCCAATTTGTTTTTGAGAATTTAAATATGAACTAAAATAAAGTTACATTCACTTTAAATGAAAGAGATTAATGAAGTTATGATGAGGGTTATAAGAAAGAACTGAGGTGGGAATATGGTAGTGAAAATTTTGCATCACGAAAAAGAATGACACAATAAAAATTTGCAAAGTGGGTGCAAATTTTGCTCCCGATCAAGATTTGCAATTTGTTTGAGTTATGGTTGACCTGGCCTCGGGTGCCACGTGGCACCTCCGTGGCCATCTTATCTCTTCGACCATGTCGGCACCACGTAGGATGGATAAGCGTGACCAAGAAGAGGAGCCCCATACGGATAAGGATGACAGCTCCGTCGGGGACTAGGATTTATCCCGAAGACCTCGGCGGACAACCTCAGAAGACTCATCCGAATAGGACACGAATATTCGGCTATAAATAGGCAACCTATGCGCAGCTTCATCCTTCCACCTTGACTTCGCCAATTGGCAGGACTGTGATCATGGTTCGGGACACCTCGGATAGGACAACATTAGATTGGTGCCGTCTATGGGAAACATACGAAAAAGTCATTCCCAAAACCCTCTTCGCACAATCAAG